TCTCACATTAGTCCTGGTCTCAGGTCTCTGTCCTGAAGTCCTCTCACATTAGTCCTGGTCTCAGGTCTCTGTCCTGAAGTCCTCTCACATTAGTCCTGGTCTCAGGTCTCTGTCCTGAAGTCCTCTCACATTAGTCCTGGTCTCAGGTCTCTGTCCTGAAGTCCTCTCACATTAGTCCTGGTCTCAGGTCTCTGTCCTGAAGTCCTCTCACATTAGTCCTGGTCTCAGGTCTCTGTCCTGAAGTCCTCTCACATTAGTCCTGGTCTCAGGTCTCTGTCCTGAAGTCCTCTCACATTAGTCCTGGTCTCAGGTCTCTGTCCTGAAGTCCTCTCACATTAGTCCTGGTCTCAGGTCTCTGTCCTGAAGTCCTCTCACATTAGTCCTGGTCTCAGGTCTCTGTCCTGAAGTCCTCTCACATTAGTCCTGGTCTCAGGTCTCTGTCCTGATGTCCTCTCACATTAGTCCTGGTCTCAGGTCTCTGTCCTGAAGTCCTCTCACATTAGTCCTGGTCTCAGGTCTCTGTCCTGAAGTCCTCTCACATTAGTCCTGGTCTCAGGTCTCTGTCCTGAAGTCCTCTCACATTAGTCCTGGTCTCAGGTCTCTGTCCTGAAGTCCTCTCAGATTAGTCCTGGTCTCAGGTCTCTGTCCTGAAGTCCTCTCACATTAGTCCTGGTCTCAGGTCTCTGTCCTGAAGTCCTCTCACATTAGTCCTGGTCTCAGGTCTCTGTCCTGAAGTCCTCTCACATTAGTCCTGGTCTCAGGTCTCTGTCCTGAAGTCCTCTCACATTAGTCCTGGTCTCAGGTCTCTGTCCTGAAGTCCTCTCAGATTAGTCCTGGTCTCAAGTCTTTGTCCTGAAGTCCTCTCACATTAGTCCTGGTCTCAGGTCTCTGTCCTGAAGTCCTCTCACATTAGTCCTGGTCTCAGGTCTCTGTCCTGAAGTCCTCTCACATTAGTCCTGGTCTCAGGTCTCTGTCCTGAAGTCCTCTCACATTAGTCCTGGTCTCAGGTCTCTGTCCTGAAGTCCTCTCACATTAGTCCTGGTCTCAGGTCTCTGTCCTGAAGTCCTCTCACATTAGTCCTGGTCTCAGGTCTCTGTCCTGAAGTCCTCTCACATTAGTCCTGGTCTCAGGTCTCTGTCCTGATGTCCTCTCACATTAGTCCTGGTCTCAGGTCTCTGTCCTGAAGTCCTCTCACATTAGTCCTGGTCTCAGGTCTCTGTCCTGAAGTCCTCTCACATTAGTCCTGGTCTCAGGTCTCTGTCCTGAAGTCCTCTCACATTAGTCCTGGTCTCAGGTCTCTGTCCTGAAGTCCTCTCACATTAGTCCTGGTCTCAGGTCTCTGTCCTGAAGTCCTCTCACATTAGTCCTGGTCTCAGGTCTCTGTCCTGAAGTCCTCTCACATTAGTCCTGGTCTCAGGTCTCTGTCCTGAAGTCCTCTCACATTAGTCCTGGTCTCAGGTCTCTGTCCTGAAGTCCTCTCACATTAGTCCTGGTCTCAGGTCTCTGTCCTGAAGTCCTCTCAGATTAGTCCTGGTCTCAGGTCTCTGTCCTGAAGTCCTCTCACATTAGTCCTGGTCTCAGGTCTCTGTCCTGAAGTCCTCTCAGATTAGTCCTGGTCTCAAGTCTCTGTCCTGAAGTCCTCCCACATTAGTCCTGGTCTCAGGTCTCTGTCCTGAAGTCCTCTCACATTAGTCCTGGTCTCAGGTCTCTGTCCTGAAGTCCTCTCACATTAGTCCTGGTCTCAGGTCTCTGTCCTGAAGTCCTCTCACATTAGTCCTGGTCTCAGGTCTCTGTCCTGAAGTCCTCTCAGATTAGTCCTGGTCTCAAGTCTCTGTCCTGAAGTCCTCCCACATTAGTCCTGGTCTCAGGTCTTTGCTTGTGGATGTATTTATGATTTTAATGCCTTGTTTTATTGTTTTTTATCGTGTATGAACTGATCATTCTAAATCAATGATGGCAGCGCGGTTGGAGCTTTGCATGTTCTCCCTGTGCCTACGCAGGTTTCCTCCAGGTGCTCCAGTGTCCCCAGCTACTAAACACAGATGACAGCTGGATGATAGAAGTCCTATTAGCTGCTAATTAACGCACACAGATGTTTTCATATTTTCTCAAGTTGGAGTTGAAAGTTTAAGAGACAGAATCAACATTATTGTGTAAGTATAAAGTAAAGCGTTGATGAACAGACGGATTATTATGATGAAAAGTGTGAGATTGGTCCAAACGCTGCTGCTGGAGTTGGCAGAGTTGGCTGAAGAGTAAAGAGTTCCAGCTCAGTTTAAGATGGAGTCTGGAGCCAAAGAACCGGCAGCGACTCAGCGTCTGCTTCACACGACTCTCCTCTAAATACTTTTGTTTTTCACTTTTAAACTCATTGTCTCCCACTCACAGATTAACACGGATTATAATTACTCTGTAATCTGTTTCCACTGGCCCCACTCTACCCTACTCTACTCTACCCTACTCTACTATACTCTACCCTACCCTACCCTACCCTACCCTACTCTACCCTACTCTACTCTACTCTACCCTACTCTACTCTACTCTACCCTACCCTACTCTACCCTACCCTACTCTACCCTACTCTACTCTACCCTACTCTACCCTACTCTACTCTACCCTACTATACTCTACCCTACTCTACCCTACTCTACTCTACTCTACTCTACTCTACCCGGGCGGCACGGTGGCTGAGTGGATAGCACTCTCGCCTCTCAGCAAGAAGGTCCTGGGTTCGAATCCCGGCCGGACCAGGGCCTTTCTGAGTGGAGTTTGCATGTTCTCCCCGTGTCTGCGTAGGTTTCCTCCGGGTACTCCGGTTTCCACTACCACTAAAAATATGTACAATAGTTCTGGCATGCGCCTCCTGTACGGCGACCCTGCTCCCATCTCTGTGTGGAGTGAGAGACAAATGCCCAAAAAATAACAATTGTAAACCGCTTTGTGACTCTGGTCTGTGAAAGGCGGTATATAAATAAAGCTTACTTACTACTACTTACCCTACTCTGCTCTACTCTGCTCGGCTCGGCTCTGCTCGACTCTACCCTACTCTGTTCTACTCTACCTGGTTGTTTTTAAGGCCTGGATTGAACCAGGACCAAGAGGGACTAAAGAAGGACCTGGTACTGGTTCTCGCAATCGTAGAGTAGGGTAGAGTAGAGTAGAGTGGGGTAGGTTAGGGTAGAGTAGAGTAGGGTAGGTTAGGGTAGAGTAGAGTAGGGTAGGTTAGGGTAGAGTAGAGTAGGGTAGAGTAGAGTAGGGTGGGATAGAGTGGGATAGAGTAGGGTAAAGTTGGGTAGAGTTGGGTAGAGTAGAGTGGGGTAGGTTAGGGTAGAGTAGAGTAGGGTAGATTAGGGTAGAGTAGAGTAGGGTAGGTTAGGGTAGAGTAGAGTAGAGTAGAGTAGAGTACAGTTGGGTAGAGTAGAGTAAGGTAGAGTAGAGTAGGATGGGGTAGAGTAGAGTAGAGTGGGGTAGGTTAGGGTAGCGTAGAGTAGGGTGGGATAGAGTAGGGTAAAGTTGGGTAGAGTAGGGTAGAGTTGGGTAGAGTAGAGTAGGGTAGATTAGGGTAGGGTAGAGTAGAGTAGGGTAAAGTTGGGTAGAGTAGTGTAGAGTAGAGTAGAGAGTTGGGTAGAGTAGGGTAGAGTAGGATAGAGTAGAGTTGGGTAGAGTAGGGTAGAGTAGAGTAGAGTAGGGTAGAGTAGAGTAGAGAAGAGAAGAGTTGGGTAGAGTAGAGTAGAGTAGAGTTGGGTAGAGTAGAGTTCGGTACAGTAGGGTAGAGTAGAGAGTTGGGTAGAGTAGGGTAGAGTAGAGTAGAGTAGAGTTGGGTAAAGTTGGGTAGAGTAGGGTAGAGTTGGGTAGAGTAGGGTAGAGTAGAGTAGAGTAGGGTAGAGTAGAGTAGGGTAGAGTAGAGTTGGGTAGAGTAGAGTAGAGTTTGGTAGAGTAGAGTAGGGTAGAGTAGAGTAGGGTAGAGTAGAGTAGAGTTGGGTAGAGTAGAGTAGAGTTTGGTAGAGTAGGGTAGAGTAGAGTAGAGTAGAGTAGAGTAGAGTAGAGTAGAGTTGGGTACAGTAGGGTAGAGTAGAGTAGAGTAGAGTAGAGTAGAGTTGGGTAGAGTTGGGTAGAGTAGGGTAGAGTAGAGTAGAGTAGAGAAGAGTTGGGTAGAGTAGAGTAGAGTTGGGTACAGTAGGGTAGAGTAGAGTAGAGAGTTGGGTAGAGTAGAGTAGAGTTGGGTACAGTAGGGTAGAGTAGAGTAGAGAGTTGGGTAGAGTAGGGTAGAGTAGGGTAGAGTAGAGTTGGGTAGAGTAGAGTAGAGTTTGGTAGAGTAGAGGTAGGGTAGAGTAGAGTAGGGTAGAGTAGAGTAGGGTAGAGTAGAGTAGAGTAGAGTTGGGTAGAGTAGAGTAGAGTTTGGTAGAGTAGGGTAGAGTAGAGTAGAGTAGAGTAGAGTAGAGTAGAGTTGGGTACAGTAGGGTAGAGTAGAGTAGAGTAGAGTAGAGTAGAGTTGGGTAGAGTTGGGTAGAGTAGGGTAGAGTAGAGTAGAGTAGAGAAGAGTTGGGTAGAGTAGAGTAGAGTTGGGTACAGTAGGGTAGAGTAGAGTAGAGAGTTGGGTAGAGTAGAGTAGAGTTGGGTACAGTAGGGTAGAGTAGAGTAGAGAGTTGGGTAGAGTAGGGTAGAGTAGGGTAGAGTAGAGTAGAGTAGAGTAGAGTAGAGTTGAGTAGAGTTGGGTAGAGTTGGGTAGAGTTTGGTAGAGTAGGGTAGAGTAGAGTAGAGTAGAGTAGAGTTGGGTACAGTAGGGTAGAGTAGAGTAGAGTAGAGTTGGGTAGAGTAGAGTAGAGTAGAGTTGGTGGAAACAGGGCTTATGTTTTATCCTCTTTCCGATGGAGGTCTCCTTTGTTTTGTAGCTCACTTTGAATTGAATAGTTTCTGACTCGTGCCATACAGATAAACTTGCTGTTGTCTCCACACATCCTCAGCTCGACTCTGACTGTGATCAACTGTCTGTGTTTCAGGTTGGGTGGAGCAGGAGTCGTACTATTGACCTCGGCTGCTGCTGGGACCTGCTGTGTGTTTGCAGTGATTTAGAACGTGTTCCATTGTAGAAAAGTCTCTGATGTTTGTGTTTGATCTTTACGGAACATGTGACATCAATAAACCGACTGTTTGCAAAAAGAACATGTTTCAAATTTTCATTGTTGGCTTTGTTCTATTTCCTGTTATAACCGATACCTCAGCTTCAATTTACACCACATTATATATATTTTTGTAGTTTAAACAGCAAAAGATTGTGTTCATGTGACATCACAACCTTCCAAATACACTGTAGTTTAACAGTATGGTGGAGGGCAGCTGAAAAATCATCCCTGGTATCTGTGGTGACTATCAAAAACATAACTTTTGGTCTCAATTTAGTTAAAGTAGAATCGTGCTAAGTGGGGCTGGTGGAAATGGGGCTATCTGTAGTAGACAAATTCATTTATTTTTTAATTTTCTAATGAATGACCTCGTTCTATTTAGTTCTGACCTCGTGCACGTAAAAACCCTTGATGATAATTATTAATGTGTTGTTTATAATTTGCAGAAGTCAATCTGTTCACTTTTGTTGTTCAAAGTTTGTCGATAAAGTTTAGTGGTGACGTCACTTCCTGTTTACAAGCCCTGTAATGGCACAGAGCTCCGCTAGTTGCAGCTACAGAATCCATGTCCATCTTTTGCTAAAGACTGGTCCATCAATGTCGTAAGTAACTGGGACATGATTAGATACTTATATTTGTGTGATTCAAAGTTTATTTTGTTAAAAAATTGCAGTTAGTTCATTTGAAATACATGATTAAGTTGCTAAAAAAAACGCTATGCTAAAATGTGCTATGCTAAGAGAAGCTGCATTTGTAGTATGCCTGGTTAACATTATCATTTATGTGAAACTGAATATTTCTTGTTTTTCTGTATTTTGATGCAGTTTTCACTCCATGTTATGGTGAAAGAGTCTTCACAGTAAAGAAACGAAATACTACGTCGACTCGTCTCTTTGTCATGAATGGAGTTTAGCTTGGTGTTTTGTCCACGGTTCCTACGCCTTGACAAGAACATTATAGTGAAAAGACAAAGAATCAGCACGCAAGATGGCTTCAAAAAGTGGATCCTCTACAGCTAGCTCAGCAGGACGAGCAAGGGCAAAGGCTGAAGCCGCTAAGATACGAGCAGACTATGCGGTAAAACAACTCGAACTACAACTAGAGACTGCAGCTAAAGATAAAGAAAAAGCAAAAAAAGAAGCAGAACTAGAGTTTGAAAAAGCTAAACTGCAGGCACAGCTTGAAGTAATGAAAGTGCAATGTGAAGCAGAAGCTAGAGCACGTGAAGCACAAGTTTTAGAAATGGCAGAGGACTTGCAAAGTGTGGATGAAGAAGGTGAAAGAGAACATGCATCAGAACAGGAAGCAAAAATTAAACGCACCAAAGAGTATGTGAAATCACAATCCACTTACAAAAGTATTCCTCCACCATCACAAATATCAGTAGAAAATCAATTGCACGAAGATGGGGTGTTCAAGTCAGTCGATTCCTGCATACGTGAGGCGTTGCCAGATAAAAAGGCAAGGCATTCACATGACACCATGAAAAGATATGAAGACCATTATGATTCATATTTGACAACACAAAATAGAATAAAAGGAGAAAACAAATGTAAATTTGCACATTCAGGGGAGAAAGCAGATCAAACCTATCAACCTTATTCCCAGAGAAAGCTTAACATAAATGCTCCACCCTTTTCTTCAAATACTGGCTGCTTAACACCGGCAATAGACCCACTAGCACAGTACTTAGCCAGACGAGATCTAACAAACTGTGGTTTGTATCAGTTTGATGATAAACCGGAGAATTACCGTGCATGGTATGCATCATTTGCTAGTACAACAAATGACATACAGCTAAGCGCAGTGCAACTACTTGATCTCATGATTAAATGGCTTGGAAAGGAGTCATGTGAATATGTAAAACGAATAAGAGCAGTTTATATTAACAACCCATCTGAAGCACTGAGTAAAGCATGGGATCGGCTTGAAGAGTGTTACGCTGCTCCAGAGATAATAGAAAAGTCTCTTTTTGAGCGTCTGGAGAACTTTCCAAGACTTAATGCCAGAGACAATGTTAAACTACGTGAGCTTGGAGATTTGCTGACAGAAATACTCGGTGCGAAAGAAGACGGTTATCTGGCTGGCCTGTCATTTCTAGACACGTCACGTGGCATATCACCCATCGTAACCAAGTTACCATTTGGACTCCAAGAAAAATGGCTCTCTTCTGGATCCAAATACAAAGAAGAAAATTGTGGACTTTTTCCTCCTTTTCGCTACTTCTGTGAGTTTGTGTGCTATGAGGCAAAGAAAAGGAATGATCCCAGCTTTATGACTCCAACGGCCATATTCATTTCAAAAACAGACCGAACGCCACTCAAGAAAACAATGTATGATAAACCTATCATAGTGCAGAAAACGGACATTTCTTCACAACAATACAGCAGAACCACAAACTCAGACCCATCCAAAGTGTGCCCTTTACACAATAAGCCACATTCACTCCAAAGTTGCAAGGCATTTCGAAACAAACGTATAGAAGAAAGAAAAGATTTCCTCAAGAAAAGTGGAATTTGTTTTAAATGTTGCATTTCATCATCACATTTAGCTAAGGAATGTAAGGCATCTATTAAATGTTCTGAATGCGAGTCAATATATCACATCTCAGCCATGCATCCAAACACACCATATCCACACCCAAAAGACCCACCAATTCAACAGGCGAATGGCGGGGAGTCTGGAACCACTAAAGTAGACAATGCTGACATCGCAGATACTACAGTGATAACTTCAAACTGTACTGAGGTATGTGGTAAAGAACAGTTTGGACGCTCATGTGCTAAAATATGCCTTGCAAAGATCTATCCACAAAATGCTGTACACAAAGCGATAAAGACGTATGTGATAATAGATGATCAGAGCAATCGCTCTTCGGCCAGACCAGAGTTTTTCAGTATGTTTGAAATACAAACCGAGCCTTCATGTTACCAGCTAAGAACCTGTTCAGGCATGGCAGAAACGTTAGGAAGACGTGCAGATGGATTTGTGATAGAGTCCATTGAAGGGAATATGGCAATTCCGCTTCCGTCACTTATAGAGTGTTGTGACATTCCGAATAACCGCGCAGAGATCCCAACTCCAAATGCTGTTATTCATCAGCCTCATTTGCAACACATTGCTAAGCATCTCCCAGAACTCGATCCAAATGCCAAAATACTGCTTCTTCTCGGCAGAGACATTTTAAGACTACATAAGGTCAGACAACAAGTAAACGGACCTCACAATGCCCCGTTTGCACAACGATTAGATCTTGGCTGGGTGATAGTAGGCGAAGTGTGCCTCGGAGCCAGTCACAAGCCCATTGTAAACAACTTCAAAACAACTATTTTCGAGAGTGGTCGTCCTTCCATCTTTCAACCATGTACAAGCTACATGCAAATAAAGGACTCGCTACCAAAACTCAAGTCTTCTACAAAAGTCACAGAGGAAACACTTGGAAAAACAGTTTTTGACAAAACTGACAAGGACAACAGACTTGCTCCATCAATTGACGATGCAATGTTTATGGACATAATGGACAAGGAAGCGCACCAAAATGCCAAAAACACATGGGTGGCTCCGCTTCCATTCAAAAAGCCACGGCCGTCTCTTCCAAACAATAAAGAGCAGGCTATAAAAAGATTTGTGTCGCTAGAAAAAACATTTAAACGGAATCCCAAAATGCAGGAACAGTACTTTACATTCATGGACAAAATCTTTCAAAACGGACACGCTGAAGTCGCACCAACGCTCGAGGAGAATGAGGAATGCTGGTTTCTCCCCACATTTGGAGTATATCATCCTCGAAAGCAAGACCAGATTCGTGTGGTGTTCGATTCAAGCTCACAGTATCAAGGAATCTGCTTAAACGATGTATTGCTAACCGGACCTGATCTAAACAACACGTTAATTGGTGTTTTATTACGCTTTCGCAAGGAGAAAGTAGCAGTGTTAGCAGACATTCAGCAAATGTTCTACTGTTTTGAAGTAACAGAGCCTCATCAGAACTTCCTCAGGTTTCTGTGGTACGAAGAGAATGACGTCAACAAAAAAGTAATTGATTATCGCATGAAAGTCCATGTGTGTGTTGTGTCTGTGTGTGCGTTTGATATTTGGCAATAGTCCCTCACCTGCCGTTGCGGTATATGGCCTGAGAAGAGCACGCCGGGAACGAATGGGGGACCGGGGGGGAGAGGGCGACAGAGGTGGGGGGGGAGGGGCAACCCCCCTGGGACAATGGCACTCTAAAATGGGGAGGATAACAACGGGGGACGGTTTTAAATTTTCTATTTTAATTTCACGCAGTAGATTGAGGAGGGGGCGATGATGAGGGAGAGGGGGGGGGGAGGGGGGTGATGTGGTGGAGAAGGGGGGTATGGCGCAGGATGATGGGGAGGGGGCGAGGGGGATGGCTCATTTGAATGGCGCAATTTTGGTTATTAAAGAGGATTTGAGAATGTCCTTGTGGACACAGAAACAGGGCAAAAGAGAAGAGAACTGAAAGGGATGAACATGAACAAGAGGTTTGGAAACATACAACGGAGCTGAATTAAAGAGGAGGGTCTAAGGACATTTAATCTTAATAAAAATGATAATAATAATAATAATAATAATAATAATATTGTAGGAGTTCTGTAAAGCACCCTTCTGGAGTCTCCCTGAGGTCTCCCATCACAGCACTAACCAGGCCCTGCCCTGCTTAGCTTCAGAGGTCTGACAGGATGTGCCTCTCACCTGCAGGGGGCGCCACGACATATTCAACATTAGCATTCTGATGTTCACAACCTCTATACCTTCTGTAAACAGTCTGAAGTCAGTGTCCTGCTTCCCCCTGGTCTTCTGTCTCCTGGGTGGCAGGTTTCTCCCATGCGTACCGCAGCCAATGGGTCCGCAGCCCATGGTCCACAGCCCTCAATGGTGTGTG